TTCACTCAATCATCCTTGTAACATTGGCAGGAACATATTGCCGTATCATGGCTGCCAATTCACACGCACAGGATTTAAATAATCTTTCATACCCAGGGGTGTAGGATAGGGATATTCCACCCGAGGGGTAACAAAATTTGGAAAAACGCGAGGCTTTCCGAGGGATTTTCCCTTTCCTAAATCTCTGGGCATGAAAGAATATGTTTCGCTCATTCCAACTACCAGAATAAGCTCAAAAACGATGAAAATGCGTTTTGACTGGCTACCAATTTTAAAAACATCATCTTTTTCCTGAGCTTTTTTGACGGAATGAATCAGTCAGCGAGTCTGACATATCCCATATCCACAGGAAAAAATGATCTCATCGTTCTAACGTTGTACGATCAATATATAGTAAAAGGTTTTGATTTCATCACGTCGCCTTTTCCGCATTGCGACATCGGAGAGTTCAAAATTCGTCATTGTTGAGCCATTGTGACGTCACGTCACGTTAAATTGGGTGTAAAATAGAAATTTCCTACACCCCTTTCTTATCCTGGACATCTCTATCTTACACACAGGAAATAAGAGAAAAGGATATATCACACAGGTAAAAGTGTAAATACACTTCTCCAGGGTAAGAGATATTAAATTTCTGGGGCCAATCTAAATGTGTAAAATGTGGCCTCAGTTGCAATTTTATTTTTTATTTTCAAAGTGATAGCAAATTAAACATGCGTAATGCATTACATTTAAAAATTTAAAAATGTTGTTAACATTTAAATCGACGAAGTACCTGTATGGTTTAGTAAAAAACCGTCAACCACCCTGATTTTGCTAAACAAAAGGTATTTATTGATCTAGTGTTTACTGGAACAAAAAAGGGAACCCCTTGCATTGAAAAAGTTGTCAGCATTGACGGATTCGATTGCAATATTTAGTGGATCTTAATAAAATAAGAACACTTTTCCATGAGATTAAAAGAAAGCACAGCCATTGATGTAAAACGTCATCATGATGAACAGTTTCATTGTTCTATTACCCCTATAGATACACTGCGTTTGTCTGAAGACGGGTTACATAAGCCGGAGAACATTTCAATCAACATATTTACATCTCATCCTTCTCCAGCTAGGTCAATTCTGACTGCGTATAAATTAGCGTATACGCAATTAGGCTCGGCGGATTTATACCTGTTTCAAATATGTTCGTTGCCAACTGCGTTCATATGACCTTACTTAAACGTACTAAAAATTAAAATGATGAATCAGCTTTGGTGATAAAACGAAATGTATTTAGGAAAGGTGATGTAGTGATGTTTGTCGATAATCACAAGCCCCATCTGTGACACATAAAAATGCCGGATTAAGTTCCAGTTATCAAAATATCTAAAGGGTATAGACGCGACTGTAGATCTATTTTAATTTCAACAACAATAATAGGTCGCTATATTTAGTATCTATATATACGACTCTGTGTATTATGCTGTGATGTCGGGCGCCATCATGACCTGAAATCAAGCTATTAGATTTCTGGGATTGTCGTGATTCAAACATGTTCACAAGTTTTCAACGGTGACCGGCATTTTTTCCCAATTTTATGGGGGATACTATGACTAATGAGACGGTTGATCAAGAAAAGGTTTGCCCTTCCGGAGAATTCCTTTATTGTGGAACTTCCCCTGTTCCCGTCGTCTTTTATATCGGCAATGCATTGAAATTTCGCCCTTGTGTATTGACGGCACTGCTTTATTTCCTATTTTACTGAGGTAAATTGCTTCGCAATCTGCACCTTTAAGAGCAATACCATGTTAAGCCTAAGAAAGAGTAACATGATAGGCGTCATATAAAGATAGCATTTCCTTCCTGATGTAATTAATCTTGGATCATTAAATTAAAACTGTGATCGTGATATATTAAGGTTTAATTAAAAAAATACATAGGATTAACATCTTGGTAACGAATATAAGCAGCACATCATTACAAGGCCAGTGTGAAATCAACATATTCTGGCGTTATATACTGAGAATGTGCTACTGGAGTCGTGTGCAGGATATTGTTAATAAAAAGACAAGTAATGAGATGGTATTGTTGCGTTAATTGAGCTTGTTTTATCGCAGATTGGCTGTATCTATGTATAAAAGGAATACTATTGGACAGACAGTTAATAGATTGTTGTATTTGCTTGATGTTTTCTACATACGATACTCAATATTCCAGAAATTTTCGTTTAGGAAATATCTCTTATTTTTTGCATAAACGCGACAGATGGTTTTTTTTTTATATAGGAATGATTGTTATTGGAAAATATCGTTAATTTACTGGCAGTTTCATCTATTTAAATACAATAATTGGTTTTGAGTCAAAAGATTAAATTGGTAATAAACCATACTATCATCTGTATTATATAAATTGATGTAGAAGTAAACATCGACCATTACACTAATAAACCCTTTTTACTTACTTTTTTTTTCTTTTTTTCTTTTCTGAGAGATTTCTACTTAAATGAATGGTAGGGTCAGGATGATTTGGTTTTAAGTTTGATATTTCTTTGTGTGCTATCATTAAGCTCCTCTTCCACGTCTTAGTTTGTTGGTTACCTACATACATGTACTATTCTATATTAAGACATAACGTTTGTACATATCTAAACTATAAAAACGCAAACTCTTCTTCAGCTTCTTTCCTCTTTAAGTTTTTATGATTTTCGTTTGGTGTTGTCTCATTCGTTAGTTGGTGTTTATAGTTCAATTTTTTATATCACTACTATTGACAGATTCTCTGAAAAAAATAACAGGTTCACAATCACAATAATTTTATAAAACAATAGGTAAATTAGAAAAATAATGTGTTCTGATTTAATATGTTTGATTTTTGCGACGATGCAATTTTGCGGGTAAGTTATAACTGGTGCCACTTTCGAGAGCGAGTCCGGTGTTAAGCGGAATGACGGAAGATAAAACTTCAACTAGCGTGTTTTTTCTTGGTTGTTCACCACTCTGACTAATAACAATTTTCAAAGCACACCGACACCCCCTTGCTGGTACCATTGCATCGAGGTCCGGTGACAGTGTACGTTGTACATGTCTTTCTAGAAATATCTCCCAAACATTTCAGCGGACTTGTGCTGTTGAAGAGAGGTTTGCGCAAGTATCACAGGCTTATTAACGACATTTTTTTTTTTTTTTTTTTTTTTTTTTTTTTTTTTTAAAAANCACTCTAAAAATCAGCATCAGATCCGCGCTAGAGCTAGGAGGTAAATGTACCAAAATACCACCTCCAACACACAATGATACGTAACACACATGAAGGCAAGCCCCTAAAGTCCTTAAATAACAAAACAAAACCCATAAAAACTGTATGATAACTCAAGTAACACAAATTGTGATGCAACCAAAAATGTTATCTTTGCAAAAGGTTGAAAGGTAATTTAATAATTGAGTTATTCTAGAGAAATATTATTTGTTGGTAGCAAATGCGCTTAAATATCAATTCTTTCTGCGGCACATTTCTCTTCATCAAACAGGAGGAATGCTAATTTAAAAAAAATGTTGTTACAGAGACAAACACGGCTTCTGTACTGGCAAATTATTTATTTCTATGTCTTCCCGAGTGATACACATGCTGTACGTTGCAAGAATAGGTCGTCGAACTGTACAGTGGTTGGAACAGTTTCAGTACACACGGACCGAAATGTAAGTAGTAATTATCGTAAATCTTGGTTTTTACAACGGAAAACAGATAATATATAGTCTATTTATAGATATTTGTATAAAATGACGTTCTGTTGATCACTACGGGTGGCTCTTTATGTGTTCACCCCTGCGGTGAAGGAGTCGATTTTTCAATTCATATTAGCATCATAGGAAAAATATTATTGATAAAATCTCACATAATTAATTGGTCATCAACTTTTTGATTTGCATATATTTTTACACAATAATGTTTTGCAATATTATGAATACATAATTTTCACTTGAGCTGTAACATAATTCTCTCAAACTATGTCTTTTCATTTAGCTATAGATTAAATCAAATACAGTTATTAGTATCAATTTTAAACTTTGCCAATGTATCATTAATTGTTTGGTTTAAGGTCAAATTGCTAACCATTAAAAGTGTTTTACAGACTATGTTAGTGGATGATTCTTTAGGGAATAATATAATTTAGACAAGATAATGTGACAAAAAGGGAGGGAACACCACAACAATATAAAGATATACAACCTAATATAAAGATGCACATCGCAATGCAAAGATACAAAACAACAATGTAACAATACAACACAACAACGAAAACAATGTATCAAGACACCAGAATAATGTAACGGCAACAGTGTAACAACACACCACAACAATGCAACGGCAACAATGTAATAATACACCACAACAATGTAACGGAACAATGTAGCAAGACACCAGAACAATATAACGACAAAAATATAACAATACACCACAACAATGTAACGGTAACAATGTAACAACACGCCATAACAATGTAACGGCAACAATGTATCAATATACCACAACAATGTAACGACAACAATGTAACAACACAACACAACAATGCAATGACAAAAATGTAACAATACACTATTACAATGTAAAGAATACCTCAGAACAGTGTTAAGATACCCAAAACAATGTCAACACGAAAGTTAAGTACACAAATGTGAACCTATACAATTTGGTACAGTGTAACAGATGTGGTATGCCAGAAACGAATTATACCGCAGTTTATAGAGGTACACAAACAAACTTACATGACTAATACTGCTAGACATGTGATAGTGAATACAATAAGCAAACCTGAATATGTATCAGAGCGGTGCCATTGGAATCGTTGCCCGTTGCCTGTAGTCATACACATATTCAGACATAAAGAATTGTCTCATATTTATGGATTGAATTTTTGTCGGTCGGCTGTGTGGGTCGTGCCTCGATGGATAAACCGTGCATGAAAGTCACGTCTGTGAGTGGGAGTGCTACGGTCCGCTTACTAACAGTTGGGTTGGGCTCCCATTATAAGAAGCGTGGCCATTATTAGTTGTTCTCAATCACTAAGGAGGCCTATATATAGGAACTGTGCTGTATGACGATACAACTGTAATGGATCCGTAAGTACTTTGTGTTTTAACACAGTTTTGTTATTATAAGTAAAACTTAGTACAAAATTTACCTGTGGTAATGTTTATGTTTTTGTTGAATTAGTTGATAAATTATATAACGTCTACCGTACATGTATTTGATAACTAAACAAAGATACCAGGCTGATATTTGATAGTTACCGATATATCATTTTTTACATTTTAATTTGCATTATATGTTACAAGGTAATGATGCGTATTAAAACTGATAACTTTACATATAAAAACAAAATAGTTGTCTTTTTCTTTGTTTCAATTTGGCACCAATATGAATTATTTCAAGTACTAACGTACTTAAGCGAATATCGAAACACTTTGTTTGACATTAACAAAGTAACAAAGTTTTGAGGAGCAGATAAAGATTTCCATCTTGAATTAATTCATTGCTTTGATTTCGAAAATTCGATTTTCTTTACATCAACTATCTAATACAAACTGGAAACCTTTATAAATGTACTGTTGGCCATTATGTTACACTTGTTCATCGCACGATGATTTAAAGGTCCGCTGTCAGTATATAAACATGGAATTTTTTTCTTAGAAAACCAAAAAAAGTAGATTTCTGTTGTAAAAATATCGTGGATGATTCCATTACAAAACAGATTGATAATTTCATACAACCGCAAAAAAAAGGTCTGAAATATGTTTCAAACGTTAACGTTGTTGGTGTCTTAATAAATCTTTCATTTCACTCAAGCATTTTATTTGGTCCACATATGTGTTACATTTGTTTCAATATAAACTTTACACTCTTTCGAATGCATGGCATTGATTAATGTTATTGTGAGCGTTGTCTTTACTTATTAATTGTCAAATACCTGATGACAGTCACACTAATATTGATCCAAACATAATTTAACATTCCGTTTAAAGGGCATTCAAATGCATGTGCATTTTATCAATCAATCAAATGCCATGTATGACATCAAATATTAAAAAGGCACGCAATAACGCATAAACAATCAACAAAGTGATAATAAAAAGCTGTAAGAGGAGATCATCACAACTTATATGCATTCGTCAGAAAATCGTGTTTAAATGCGACTTCATTCATATAATAGGTCCCATATCAGCGTTAAGAATAGTTACCGGTTTTAGGCTATGAAAAAAAAAAAAGAAGATAAATAATAATTAAAACTTACGATTTGTAAATGCAGAAAGCCAAACAAAGTGTACATTTTACTGCGCTATTTATGACTCATTAACAGCATTATAGGTAAATAGAAATGAAAATCAGCATCTCTAGAGTGTTCAGAATATATGCATAATACTGCAAAAAGGAAAAGGTGACTTTTAGCCCCTTCATAATTTTACAAACTGACAACTTTGCCTACAAAAAAAAATCTTTAAATAGTGTTTCATGTCAACCATGCAAAAATAATTTCCAGTGGGTTGCGGCCAACCTCGAGGACTGGTACAATGTAGTCAACTAGCAGAGCCTACCATCTTGTTACACAATACTGGTACTGGGCACTACAACATTAAAACACCTCAAATCAATACGAAAAGTGTAACCGTACAGGGAACAAAAAAACCATCAAAACAAAACGAAAGGCAACCTGATACCAAACAGAAAAAAGGAAGTGAAACAAAATTCTCAGGAATTGTTGAAACGAACTGCAATCGACAGAACTGACAAAATATACACCCCAAATATAAGAGAAACAATGTAAGCAATACATTTTCTTCGACGACTTATGACAAATTTATGGAAATTTCGATTGATGAATTCTGTTCTGCAAATTGTCTCGTAAATGTGAATACTTGCTATTATTTACAGTTTCTTCTGTTATGGAGGGTTAAATAACTCAATAATGCCGTGCTTTCAGTGTGATAATCAAGGCTGATTTTTTCTTAAATAAGTCAGGCATTCGAAAACTCAGTGTGTAGCAAAATTCAATTTTAAGCATTACGGCTTTTTTTAAAGGAACAATTCTATAAATCTGTTTCACTTTGTATGTCAAAAACAAGTCTCTTCAAACACTACGCTTACTAAGATGAATAATTAAATAAAGTTAAAATACTGTAATTTATCACACAACGTTACATACGGAGCCTGTTTGCCGGTGCTAGATTTCTTACTATGCTGCTGTGGTTCGATGGTGTGTAGAATCCGTTTGGTTTGGTTTGTTTTCATTTTATTTAACGTCACATAAACAGCCAAGGTCATCCGAGGACGAGCCTGCATGTGTGTAATACATGATTGCCTGCGTGTATGTGCGCTGGAGACAGGATATCTAGAACTTGTAAATGAAGAGCACTTATAACAGAAATCGCTTTTAATCGTTTACATTTGTACACAAAGTATTTTTATTTCTTAATTTCTAAAAGTTGTTGACAAAAACAAATTATTAGAAATATCAAGTTCCAGTTCGTCAATTATGGACCCATTAGCGGTACGCATGGTCTTTGGAAGGGACATCATGTCTAAAGTGTTCAAAAACATGCACAAAAACACGGCGAAATTGGAAATATGGCCCTTTATCCCTTTAAAAGGTTACACACTTTTGGATATATATAGGATGATTTATTTTTAAATTGATATTTCATGTAAACCGCGCGAAATAATTCAAGATACAGGTTACAGTTTACATCGGGGACTGATTAAATTACCAAGGAAATTAAACCTTTTAGACATTACTACCTCATCACAAAACTGACAAAAATTCCCAACATATTTCAAGTTATCATTTGTTTTGTATGATAAAACCTTATACGTACATCTAAACTCAATCGTCTAAACTATTATAGACCAATCTTCGTTATTCTAGTCAATTACCCAAATCTGGCATGCCTAGTTGTTAACGTCACGGCCGTTTCTTCAAGCATTAATGTAAATTAAAGGAAGGTAACACTGTTATTATATTACTTGGATTTTGTTCAACGGTATTGATTTGTTCAGTTAATTTTGAACATTACGTAGAAAATTTAGAAAAAATGAATCATGTTTTTTCAAATCGGTTACCCAAACATATTCCCCCATACAATCCAAAACACAAAAATGGTCAAATTGTCGGTAAGAATTTCTCTTGCTGTATTCAACTGCATCTTATTGTATGACGCGAATTATGTTGACTCCCTGCATTATCGACTGATTTGGTGTGTCTTCTGATTAGAGGACATTCGACAGTACCAAGTTAATTTTATAATCAACGTTTTGTTAAGAACCTACCAGCATTCAATCAGTTTTTCTCTGTCTTTATTTCGAAAACCATTTGATGGATATTTTTCTAAATGTAAACGTCTATTTATCAAAATTTCACTCTGTCTTGGGACTTTACCAGATGCTCTTGTGAAAAATGTATATACAAATGTCAATAACACTTGTTTTGCTGTGTTACGGTCAATCGGCTATGTCCGTCATACAGACAAGGCGTATACAATTCGTTCATGTCAAGGGGTGTAGCATAGGGTCGTATGCACCTATTTATTCCAAGAGTCACCATGTAATGTTTGCCTTTGTTACTCATTTTTCATATTCGTGAGATCAATTTTGAGTTCATGTACGCTTTGATTTTCTCTTTTTCTCTTTTTCTTCAGATTGTTTGACGTGCTTGCCTTTCGCTTAGTTATTGCATCCTTGAACACTACATATCTTCTAAACGTATTGTGTGTTATTGTATTTGATAGACTACGCAAGGTACTTGAAAATTATTTGCATTCATTATCTTTCAAGCAGGATGCGCGGTGTATCGGGTTCCATTAACTTTTTTGAATTCTTAATCAGAAAAAATGAAGAAACAGGATTAGGTGAGAACATGCATTTGTTACTGCATCGTGAACCGACGCTTTTATTTTCCTGTTGCACCGCCGTAGTCTATATATTATATTCACTGCGTAGATTTTCAATTTAAAGTTAAGATGAAGTGACGGCAGAATAAGTGGCTGTTGGGTTCCACCTTTGCAACAAACATTATGGTAATTATATACGTAACTACACAACTAACAACTTTTCTGCTTGGAAATATTACCAGATGATAGTAGCAAACGACAGAATTACACAAGAAACCCATTCAGAATGGCGCTCTGTATTGATGTCAAGCGTGACGTCATCAGCACCTGGCGTCAACAATTACTCTTCAATATCCCGCGCTTTTTTGATGTAGCAATATTTGTGTCGCAAGACGCAAAAATGTAATAAATAGAAACTGTTGTGGATTTTACCATATGGATATATAAACAACCAAAAAAACAGCGTTCTGGCAAAATGTGTCTGCATAGCAGACGTGAAAGGTAACAACTTCTGATTAGGGATTAATGACATTGGATTAATTGTAAAAACACAATAAAGGCTTACCATTGTGATGAAATTGTAAGGAAGACTGCGTTACTGGGTGAAAATATCTTTGTTGAGTTCGGTGATTTTAGGCATTCCCTCGGAAACAAACTCTGCCTCTCTATTTTGGTCGACTAGTCGTTGTTTTATTGTGACGCTGATTTTATTGATGAGCTTATCAAAATAGTTAACAGAAAACCTTTCAAGGTTCTAAAATTTCACATTGAGATTTATCGAAAGTGTGCTATTTTTAGATAACAAGAAATTGATTGAACACTTCGATGTTATATATTCTACCTTCCTGAGCTTACCGACTCATCTAGCTCAACTAAGTCCACTTTCCGCGACCATTACTTCAACATGACCAACATGAACGGCTTTCAATTACACTGTAAGATTATCGGGAAGATTTCAATTTTCAAACTATCCCTTTCTTGATAGTAACATATCTGCCTCCCCAACCTATGGTGTTTTTACATCGCAGTTAATAGTGTTTAAGTGCTTTCTCCGAATATCATGACATCTTTGATATATGACGACTTTTGACGGACAATTTTAAAAGACATGGTTTTCAAAGATGTAGGTTGATGAAGAATATTGACAAGTTTGTTGTCGCAATCACAATCGCATTGGAAACATTGCTATTTCTTTGTGTGCTATGAAGGTCGATGCCCCCCCCCCCTAACACTCATTA